AGAGAGAGAGAGAGCTCTGAAGTCACCATCGGCCTGCAACGAGGGGTCATAGATGGTAGTGAGATGGGCAGGGAGTGCCTCGGGAGCTCCTGTCACTGGGGCGGCTGACGTGCCTTGGCAGCCTTCTACATGAGAAGCAGAAGGCAGCACAAGGATTTTGAGAATAAAATGCCGAGGTTGCCGCACAGGCGAGGACCTTGGCCGTTGGGCAGTCGGTCTGGGTTTGGAAGCGGCGGTGGTTTCCGACAGATTGGCCCGGGTGCTGCTGACGGAGCAGATCTACCGAGCTCAAGAAATCAGGCGAAAGCTGGCCAGCAGCTTTTTGACTTAATGGAGTAGTGCTGCTTTTCCATGTCGCCGCACGTCTTCAGGCGAGGCTCTCGCTATCATCGAGGCGATCCTGCTTGAGTCTTCTTCCGGGACCCAGGCCCGCATCATCAGCTCGAGTATATGGCGTCGTTCTGGAGCGATTACACGCCTTTTGGTTGTTCTGTTCAGCAAGGACAGCAAGGAGCACAAGCGTGAGACTCAGCTTGGGGATTCGTGGACTGCTGCAGCACTGACAGTCAGTCATGTGCGGAGTTGAGGGAAAGCCTTAGGTTTGGATCCAGGCTACCCCCTGAATAGGATCAGTTCTGTTCGGACTCCTTCGTGACAATCTCTTTGACGGCAGCTGTTCCCGGTGGCCAAAACAAACCCGCCCCGAAACGAATGGCCATGGCGCGATGGGCCAGCGAGGCCAGGACAGACTGCCAGCAGATCGCGTCTTGTTGCATGATGTGGGGATTGGCACCAGGTGCGGCGATTTAGGTCGCGAGGCCTTTGCATGTGCGTGCTCGCACTGCTTACGATTCTCAGTTTGGCAGCATTCTAAGTCGACCGCGATGGCAAATCCACTGCGATGGTGTAAGCACAAGCACCGAAGCCTTTGTCCGCTGAGGCGGGAAGCCACTCCTTCCTGGGACCGCAACAAAACCAAGGCTGAGGGACGGGCTTAGGCAAAATTCGACACTCCCAAACAGAGAAGCCATCCGTCAAGGAGAGAACCCCTTTGTCCCGGGAGGCAAGCGCAAGACACCAAGCATCGAAGCAGTTGGCAAAGACCCGATGGAGCTTTGTCTGCAACACCACGCCAATGTTCCAGGGCTTCTGTTCTACACGTACTGGTAGATACTGGTAGTACTGGTAGCCCGGCGGTCCTCTTCCAGGGGGCGTTCCGTGATGTTCCACCTGCCCAGACTGCGCCTGGAGATGAGCACAAGGCGTGGCAGGAGATCACGAGAGTCCGTTCCATGTGCAGCACGTATCCTACTCGGTCCTACGGGCATACTCGTCCATAGTCCATGGCCAAACAAGTGATTGAGCTTGAAGTTGAATTTTGCACAGGTAGGGTTGTTGTTGATCTTCAGCTGGGGCCACATGCACCGGCAAGGCAGTATTGTAATCAGGTTCAGTCGGGGCTTCCATGGCACACAAAGCGATCGAATTGGTTTTTACACTCACACGCAGCAAAGGTCAGCTATGTTCTGTGGCTTCAGCTGTTCCGTTTAGATTGCACATGCAAGCTGCGAACGTACTACAGTAAGCTTCAGCTTTGACGACTCAAGGGGCGCGCAAAGCAGCCCACCCTCGAGGGCGAAAGTGCCGCAGGTTTGTCATCACGACCGACTGCAATCTCGAAGCTCCACCTCCAGATATCTTACTTACCACGACTGAACACTCACTGCATGCAGAAGGCATACTTGTGCATCAACTGTTTTTGTCCGAGGCAAGCAGTCTTTGTAATGTGCAACAGTTCAGCAGTACTTGTAGCAGTTTTGCTGCGCTCGCGAAGGATGTGTAAGTTGCCACATCGCAACCGAAACTCCGTTGCTCACATCGCGAAGACATGATTTGGATTGTCCGACTGGTGCAGATGAGTGGTACACTGCCAATTCAATATCAAGATCCGTATACCCATTCAGACTCCAATCCTGGACGGCTAGGCGCTGAAGGACATTGGTGGGACGGTGATCTCATTCGTGTTCTGGGCTGTCTTTATCCGTGCTATCGTCATCGAGGACAGAGCTTTGGAGGGTCGGGAAACGACAGCACGCTTAGAATTCTTTGTGGTGTTTAACATGTATGGCGAAACTTGTCCTCCGCATCAGCTTACAGTAGATGAGTAAGCACACGGAGACCGTGTCGAAGCCGCTTTCGATGGATCTTTCTGACCACGTGCAGGAGCACTATCTTCCATACAAGGAGATGAAAGCATCGCTCATGATGGAAGGAATGGGTGGATCACAGCTTCACGTCTTTCCAACTGTCCGGACCCAAGCTCCATTGAGCTGCGCCCCTTGCACCGCTCGAAAAAGTCTCACCGAGGACTGACTGGCTGTGGTCCGGGTGGTTGCACGTCGCCCATCTCCTGAACCAGTGTCAGCAAAAGCCTCAAAATTGGATGGACAGGCATGGATAGGCAATTCACATAGCCTACACGCAGCTCGGGAGGATCCCGGAAAATCGATTTTTGAAGTCGTCGGGCATGATTTGTGTACAGATCTACCTCCCGGTCAATAATTTCGACTGGCCAGCATATGAACTCCATCTGATCCCATCTTGAACTAAGTCACCGGAAGTCACAGCAAAGACAGCTTCAGTTGCAGTCCACATTTGAGGGCCGGCCAGCCGTGCTCTGCATTTTTGTGCAGCTTGATCTCGTTAGCGCCACTACAGGCGCTAGGAAGCTGGCGATTGTTAGTCGGTCAGCATTTGAGGAATTAGGTCCGTGACTCGCCGTTCCATCGTCACGTGCATGCAAGCTCGGCATGTCGTCAGAGCAAGGCAGCTGTCAGCTTGGAACCGTGGTGCCGGTACCACACTGAACGCTGGGAAAAAGTGCAGAATTTCGGGAGGGCAACCGCTCAAGGAAAGAAGCAGGGAGGCACAGATGTCTCGAGCGATGTCGGGTGAAGAGCCGAGGCCTTCGGACACGACGAGCGGGTCCTGAGCTCGTCCTGCCCATGCCTTGGCGCAGCCCATGCCGGGGCATGATGGGGCATGCATACGTACATACGTTCAGGCCTGCTCGGGCATGTGCATGCATGTACGCACGTATGCACCTACCCCGATCGCCACGAATAAAAATTCAGCGTTACAGGTACGTACATACGGGCACACATACATACGTGCGTACGTGCCTGCTGCGTACTCCGAGGAAGAAAACGTACTAACCTGCGTATGTATACTCTCTTGTTCGGCCTCGCGGGTAATTATTATGTACGTTGCAATACATGCATTCTCGGGCATGTGCATATGCATACGGACTTATGCTCGCCCCCCCACCCTGCGAAAATGTTTGCGAAGTCGTAGGTCGCAGGTACGCGTTACATACGCACATGTACATTCATGCATGCATGCATGCAT